CGGCAGGGTGGGGGGTAGTTCTGGAACCAATTCCTTGCAGATACCAAGCAATTGTATTGCTTCGTTCTCTTTTAAATTGCATAAAGTGGAAAACAAAACACCACCACTAATAAGTGGGAGCTAATAGATGGGTACACACGGGCACAAATGATATAAAGGTAGTGAGAAACCAAGAAGTGGGGAGGGCAGGAGGGTGGGTATGGGATAAAAATTTACCTATTGGGTACAATGAACATTATTCTGGTGACGGGCACACCAAAAGCCCTGACTTAAGCATTATACATATTCATGTAATAAAAACACTTGTACTCTCTTAATTAATATTTTGAAATTTAAAAAAATACAAATTTGAGCAGTGGTAATAATAATATTAACAGCAACACTAAAAAAATAAAAGCATAAACAATCTTGTTATAAAATCAGTATGGTAAGCTACCTCTGCTTCTGTCTTCTGTGGTGTTTAATTCACAATTAATTCTAATTTTCCCACCTGTCTTTCAAGATGCTCTTTCTAAAATGAAATGATGTTATTATATAACTCCCTTACTTAAAATCCTTCAGTGACTCTCCTTTATCTTCAAATGCTCTAAAAAGGCATATAAGCCCCTCAGATTCTGTCCTCTACCCAAAATGCACCCTATGCTTTGGCCATCAGAGCTGCTTGCAAGCTCAGAAGAGTCTTTCCTGCATGTCTGCCATCATGTATGCCATTAGGCCAAGCACGTTCCCCAGTATACTGTTCCTTATCTTTCGGACTCAGTTCAGGTGCCACCAGAGTCTTTCCTTACTAGTCAGAGATGACCTCTCCTCTCTTACAGTGTGTCTTCTGTCTCCCTCCTCATTGCACTTACTACTTTGCTTTCTAATTTACTCCCCTTATTACACCATGAGCTCTTTGAAGGCAGGGATTTGGCTCTTTATTTTCTATGACCAGGATGCTCAATATGAGTCATAAGTTCAATAAATGTCCTCCTGGCAGAGTCCCAGAGCACTCCAGAGTACTGTGATTTCTCCAACTTTAAACACAGCATCCATTATGGCAGGTTTGCTATCCACAACCAAATGGAGAACCTTTTTACAAAAGGTTACAAGTTCCAAGGCCCTGCCTCCAGGGATTTTAATTCAGGCGGGGCCAAAAATCAGTATTTGTAAAATGATTCTGATGATTAGTCAACCTTAGGTTCTATTGGTCTATACTACAGGTCAACAAACTTTTTATGTGAAGGGTCAGAATGGAACTGTTTTCGACTTTGTGAGCCACAAAGTCTCTGTCGCTGCTACTCAACTCAGCTCTTGCAGCTCGAAAGCAGCCATAGACAATATGCAAATGAATGAGTATGGCTGTGTTCCAATAAAACATTATTTACAAAAACAGGCAGTGGCCATTTGCCTGTGAGCTATAGTTTGCCAACCTCTGGTTCACAGCAACAATTCTATAATACATCACACTCTAATTTATGACATTAGTAATATTAATGCTCACTAATGCTTAAACTTTTAGGTAATTATTCAAATATGTATATCCTATCTCTCATGCCTATACCAAAAGATCCTTGAAGGAAGGGACCATCTTAAAGAGAGAGACTATCTCATAAGTGCTTAACACCTTGTATAAATTAGACACTCAATAAATATTTTGAGGGGCTGAAATTCATGTTTTATGATTTTTTTTCAGTGCTGTCCTTTGTTGAAGGGATATATCCCTACAAATAGAAAGACTGCTTTTTTTTTATTTTTTGTAGTATTTCATTAGTGAAATTTGCCTAAGATCTTAAGTAATATAACAAAAATTCAAGAAACAGTATAATTAATAAGCAGTTTCAAGTTATAGGTATTAACTTTTAGTACAAAAAATTTATCTTTAATGAGACATATATTCAAATTAGAAAGCAAAGAGTAATACCAATTTACCTATGGATTTCTTTACACTAAGAAGATAATCTTCTCTCATCTCGTCAGATAATACAGTTATGCTGTCAGTGAGGACTTTCAGATGTTGTGGAACTAAGTTCAATACATGTTCTAGCCAAGAATCTTCCATTGGGGCTACATGGTCTGTATCAATTCCATGGTGAATATAATAGTAATACCTCTACCAAAAGGAGATAAGTAAAATATAGATGGGTTTAGTACTATACCAAAAGAAATACGTTTATCAAAAATAAAACTACTAAGCAAAATTCAAGTTTTAGGAGAACAAAGTATTTATAAACCATAAAAAACTATTTTATGCAATTTATGTGGCATTATTTGGGATCTCAAATTTTAAAAATATATATTTCATGAAAATTAAAGCTCTTCTCTAAGTTCATAACTATACAGGAAAACATCAAGTTATATTATCAAATATATAATGTACTTAACAGAATCCATGCTGAATTAAGAGTTTATTGTTTTGTAAATTTTTTAAATGTATTATGTTATAATACTTTTTGTTCTTTCATAATTGATAATCAGAGGGAGATCTTAAAAGCTGTAAGCAAATCAGTATCTTTATATGTTAATCCCAGAAATATTATAAAATAGGATTTAGGAAATTTCCAGTTGGCCTATCAATATTCCATACCATAATTTTATAACTGCTATTATATTAATATGCATGCAGAAAATAATCATTTTAGAACAAGGTATTTTTCTATAATAATAGACA